AGAGGAAGCTATTTATAGGGTTCTATATATAAGTACTAGGGGTGTTCACCGCTTGATAGATGCCTTGTGGCTTTACAGTTGGATAAGGCCGCTAGATTTATATACGTACTCAATAGGAGGAAGGAAGGCTTTGGTATAAGAAGGCTGTTGAGCTTAACCTAGTTGGAAAGGCTTAAAAGGATTAATAAGGCCTTCGAGACTAAAGTAGTTTATTAGTTGAATTGAACTACTGTTCCAAGCCTAGGATACTGCCCTTATTACACCTAACAATAGGCCCTCTCTTATACTTCCCTATTACTACCCTCTCGCTATATAATTTTAATTTAGAACTAGAGCGTTATTTAGCACATTACTAGCTCGATAGTAGTAGCGGGGGGGGAGGAGGAGGAGGAGGAGGAGGAAGCGCTAGGCGAATTGGAGGTACCCGGATTAATTATACTAAGAGTACTAGCTAGGCTAGCTAGGCTAGATGGGGTATTAGTACCTTAAATACAAATATCTCTCTATACTATATACTATTATTACTAAAATAGAAAGTCCTAATGCGTAGATCTATTTTAATACTACGTTTATTAACGATAATAAGCTTTATAGAGGGTAAAAGAGTGAGTAGATATTATAGGGCAAGTTATAGGGTAAATAAAAAGACACTGGAGGGTGGAGACATTCAAAATCACCGTCTTGCATATAATTTCTAGTAGGCATGAATATTGCAGGATGCTTGAAAATTATGCCTGATTGCCAGGGAACCTAAAACCCAATGGCACGAGTCTTTGCGGTAGCGAAGAACGACAAGGATCAGACACAGCGCACGGCGGCGGCACAGACATGCATTTTCGCTTGGGGATGACGCTCGACTCCAAAAGCCATGCAGGCAAGACACTCTTTACCAGTGATACCAAAATGGACGAGGATGACATGTTGCGGCTGAATTCTCGGTACGTTGTCGGTACATGTTTCTCGAAACCGAGGAAAGGGGTCCCCCGTTGAGTACGTTGGCTCCTCGAACTATCAAGTTCCAGCCTTCTTGCCAGCGGAATGAAGCCTTGGCTTGATGATGCGAGATCTCGTCAACTCGGCGTGCGAATGGCGCCGACTTGTAGCCTCTTGGCTATTGTTGCCCAGGACTGGGCCAAGCAGAGGTCCCTGAACCCGGAGAAGTTTTTCCCCCATCCATCAACACATCCATTTGTATAATATGCCACGGACAGGGCAAATTTCCCATTTAGGTCTCTGTACCGCATGTCAGTACGCGGCGTGGTGGGGTTTCCGGGTGCCGGCTCTGCAACTATATGCAAGAGGGAAATGAATGGAATGGGATGGGATGCATGGAGTTATGGATTTGCAGCCCGAGACGGCACCAATAATCAAGGGCCCAAAAACCATGTGTAGGAACTGAACGACTGGTACCACATGGCAGGGATACATACCTCGATGCTGTAGCATCCGAATCTCACTGCGTATGTGCTACATCTACCGAATGGTGGGATCTAGGATTGGGCTATAGTTCCAGTTAGCAGACGATTCGATTGGGAAAGTAAGAGTAAAAAAAGAAAAGAAAAAAGGAGACAACACGCTCGTTGCCTCCCCACGACGATGCAGCCTGGTCCAGAAACTAGGAGACACCCCATGTTCGCGGATGCCATTCATTGTCACCAATTCGGGACGGTAACGGAAGCTACCGCAACATTGCTCACATATAACCGGTCCTTCTTATTTGCAGGTCTCGGCCGTTTACTCTCACAGTCCTGGCTCTACTACATTTTACTTCGATTGTCATACCCGAACAATTGGAGAGTCCGTGACACTCCATTGACACTCAGATGGCTTCAACAAGCACAGCGGGAGACCGCATCAAGAAGTTCCTCGGAATTCCTGCCGACGAAAGACTCGACGACACAGCATACTACGACGATGGCTCCTTTGTAGAGTCGGAACCAACCACCCAAGACTTCCTCAACGAGATCCGTCCGACAGTTCAGCGCACACTCAACTACCTCAGGGAATTGTTTCCGTTTGTTAACTGGATCTTCCACTACAACTTGACATGGCTGTTGGGTGACTTTATTGCGGGAGTCACGGTTGGCTTCGTCGTGGTACCGGTCAGTACAACGATTCTATGACGTCCTAGGACACTCGACTTTTGAAGAGACGCTGATGAAATACGAGAGTAACAGCAAGGCATGGCTTATGCAAAACTCGCCAATCTTGCCCCTGAATATGGCCTTTACACTTCTTTCGTCGGTTTCCTGTTATAGTGAGTTTTTCCTCGAGGTAGGTGTCAGGATCCCTACATAGATGAAAGCTAACCGTGAGTTACACAGCTGGGCTTTTGCTACGTCTAAGGACATCACGATAGGTGCAGTCGCTGTAATGTATGGTTCCCATAGTACGACTGTCATCAAAGTCTTGCTAATATAACACCACCACAGGTCCACCATTGTTGGAAACATCATCGCGAACGTCCAAAAGGATCATCCCGACTTTGACGCCGGCGATATCGCACGAACACTGGCATTTATTTGTGGCGCGGTGCTTCTCTTCCTTGGTCTCATTAGATTCGGATTCATCGTCGAATTCATCCCCATTGTGGCCATCTCGGCTTTCATGACTGGGTCAGCAATATCGATTGCCGCGGGACAGGTATCCACCCTCATGGGCATTCCCAACATCAACTCCCGCGAGGAGACCTACAAGGTCATCATCAACACACTAAAGGGGCTTCCCAACACACATCTGGATGCCGCCATGGGCTTGACCGCGCTATTTGGGCTGTACTTTATCCGTTGGTTTTGTACCCAAATGGGGAAGAGATACCCCCGTCAGCAGAGGGCTTGGTTCTTCGTATCCACGCTTCGCATGGTCTTTATTATCATTCTCTACATTCTGGTCAGCTGGCTTGTCAACCGCCATGTCAAGGATCCGAAAAAGGCACATTTCAAGATCCTTGGGCATGTTCCAAGTGGTAAGTTTGCACCCCCTTTTCCAACTCGACACCCCCCCTTCTGTAACCGTAACTTACGAACCGGGTGACGACAGGCTTTCAACACAAGGGAGCTCCCCGCCTCGATAACGAAATTCTCTCTGCCATCAGTGGCGACATTCCGACCACCATTCTCGTTCTGCTGATTGAACACATCGCCATCTCAAAGTCGTTTGGTCGCGTCAACAACTACATCATCAACCCATCCCAGGAACTCGTCGCCATCGGCTTCACCAACCTTCTCGGTCCCTTCCTCGGAGGCTACCCCGCTACCGGATCATTCTCGAGAACGGCCATCAAGGCCAAAGCCGGTGTTCGCACGCCTCTCGCTGGCATCTTTACAGCCGTCCTCGTCCTGCTCGCTCTCTATGCGCTAACCTCCGTCTTTTTCTACATTCCCAACAGCGCTCTCGCCGCCATGATCATTCACGCCGTCGGCGACCTGATCACTCCTCCAAGGGAGGTGTACAAGTTCTGGCTGACCTCGCCGCTCGAGGTGGTCATCTTCTTCGCCGGAGTGTTCGTTTCCATCTTCACCTCGATCGAGAACGGTATCTACGTGACTGTCGCTGCCTCCGGTGCCGTGCTACTATGGCGCATCGCCAAGAGCCCCGGCAAGTTCCTCGGCCAGACCGAGATCTACACGGCACCCCGCGAGTTGGTGCGCGGCAGCAAGGACTCCGGGCTCACGCAAAGCCTGCTGCAGAAGTCGGAGCACCACACCGCCTTCTTGTCTCTTGACAGGGACGACCTCTCCAACCCCGAGCTGCAGATCTCGACTGCCTGGCCCGGTATCTTCGTGTACCGCTTCGGCGAGGGTCTGAACTATGTCAACTCGGCGAAACACCTCGACAACTTGACCATCCACGTCTTCAAGCACACTCGCCGGACGGAGTTGAACAAGTTCGAGAAGCTCGGTGTACGTGATCACCCCCCCCCCCCTTCTTCCCCCTTTTCCCTCTTCCCTCTTTTCCCTATCCCCTCCTCTCGAAAGGGACCAGAACTGACAGAAGATGATTCAACAGGACCGACCATGGAACGATCCTGGCCCGCGCCGCGGCCAAGCCTTCCTAACCGACGAGCTCGTTGCGCGCCCGACCCTGCGCGCCATCATCCTCGACTTCTCCGCCGTCAACTGCATCGACGTGACCGCCGCCCAGGCGCTGCAAGACCTGCGCAACCAGTTCGACCGCTACGCACACCCGGATAAAGTCGAGTGGCATTTCGCCGGCGTGTCTAACCGATGGACTAAGCGCGCCCTCGTAGCGTCTGGGTTCGGTGTGGACTCGTCGCGAACGGCGAAGGTGCAGAGGGGAAACTACAAGGGTGATGTTCAGGAGGTGGACCAGGGCCCGTTGGTTGCAATTGGGCCTAGTGTTTCGGCTAGCGATATTGAGGCGGTGCCGTTCGGCACAAGTGGTTCGGGCAGTACGGACGAAAAGAGGCCTGAGGGTGAGGGTGGTGCTACAAATGGTGATGTGGAGAAGGGTAATGCTAATGGGGAGGATATCTCGACGGTGCCGACTGCGACCAGTGCTGACGCTGGTGCGTTGGCAAGGGACGCTGGAGGGAAGAGGTTGGTGCCGGTGTTTGGGATTAACAGGCCGTTCTTTCACATTGACCTGGCGACTGCTTTGAAGAGCGCGGTAAGGAATACCGGGGTGGTGGTCGCAGAGTGACGGGCGTAATCGGGCATGATCAGATGGAGTTGGTTTTGTAAAGCCGGAGTTTTCCCATTTTTCCTAGACGAGATGTCTACTATGGTACGTAATGTTGAATGATCTAACAGTTCAAGGCACTGAACACTGTTGATTTATGGATATCTGGGTGGCATCAAGATCATTACTGATTTTTCGATAGCCTACAAATTGCACCTAAGGGACGAATACATGCCGTGAAACTCTTCCTCAGGTTACAGCACCTAGATACATCACCTAGTTGAATCTCACATGAACGTGGTCCCTGAAGAACACCGATCAGCACAACATGCCAACTCATATTCAAGCCGAGACATCACTTACCAATGGTTCTGGGTAATCGAGCCACGATTCTCCATAGTCCTCCAAGAAGTCCAGCTCTTGACCGAGCCGATCGACGGGCTCCAGATCTTCTGACCCCAAATAACGTACTTGAGGTTGAGGGTACTCCGGTTATTCATGACCCACTCAGCAATCTCGCGGCCAGACTTGGTAGGGACCTGCTCGCCATTGTCGGATGTCAGCTCAACCCTTAGCTTCTTCTCCCGGCTTCGACTCTAATTAACAGAGCCAAACCAAAACGAACAGAAGAAACGTACACCACCAGCATCCGAACACATAAAATCAAAGGCCTTCCCGGTACAATGATCAGACGTAGCGCCCGCCTTGCCATCGCGAATGCAGTAAATCTGCCTGACCCTTCTTGGGAAAGCGGCCACAACCTATGTATGTACTGGATGCTGGACAGCACTATCCAAGTATCTGGATTGAGAAACGAACAAAAGCTGTGCAATTCTCGATAAACAAGTCAGTTGTTCATCGGTTGCTAATGTTGTAGAGCTTTGCTCGTTGTTTTCTTGCCTGCCCGGTCAGCCGCTTTGAGTATCAGTCTTCTTACTTGTATCAGTGAGTGTGCTCTAAAATCAAGGTGAAGAACCAGGCAGCAACTGAGTGTCTACCTAGCAAGTCGTTGAGTAGCTTGAGAACAAGGTGATGCTGTGAGAAGGACAAGTGGCAAACAGATGCAACAACAACAACAAACCTTTTCCATCTTCAGTGCTTGGCTTCCACATGCTAAACGTAAAACCATGACCAAAAGAATTATAAATATGTATGTCGTTTGTTCGGGAGCCGCGGACGATACGTTGCAGCATTGGATATCACTTCCTTCTGGGCAACTGCTGCCGACAGTAAATGTGCTATGACATTGTTTTCTTGGAAAGCATATTTTCTCGTTGGTTCCTATGCAGTCTTCGGACAGTATAAAATTTAAGGAGTCTTTTGTTCCGGTCTTCATTTTAGTTCTCCATGACTTCCATATCGTCGGAGGGCCGCGGTATGAACTGCGTAGATTATTTGTGCGCGACATTGTTCTGAGACTCCCATGCATTGCTGCATGTACTTCAAGCACAACCGCCCAAATGCGCATCACGGGCTTATGTTCAGTTGTTCAAAAAAGACTATAAATATCTCAGTAGATCGATTCCGTTCCGTCCACTTTTTCTCCTCCTCCTCCTCATTATTCTTCCCACGTCCGGTCGGTCTTCGCAACACCATCCTTCTTTCTCTACCACAACCACATCTTTGACCTCGCTACAATGTCCGCCACTAACAGCGTCGTTATCTGCAATGGCACCAACCCTCCTAAGAAGAAAAACGGTGACCGGCTTTCCAAGACCTTGAACCCTCTAGCCCCAGAGTTCGTCCCTAAGGTCCTGGTGTCCACTCCTCCCGATTCCGGAAGATCCACTTTCGCCGACCCTGTTCATACCCCGGTGAAGCAGGATTATCCTCCTTATCTGGGTCCCTACCCCTTTCCAGGGTGGCGTCAGGAGCCCTACCAGGGCACTGGACCTCAAGTGCCCTACCAAAGCCCTCATGGCCAGGCCTTCAATGCCCCCTACCAAGTAGGCTATGCGCCCTATCCGGCACCTGCCGCCGCCGCCTACGGCTACGAGCCTCACACAAGCTTTGGTCGTAACATTACCAGAGAGGTGATGGCGGTGTTGAATAATCCGTCCCCGCCGAGACCCTCCACAGACGGATCTCAAGCGCCTGCCTACCCGACTAACGCAGTCTCGCAAACAAGTTGAGTTGAAACCCTTTTATCAAAAGACCACTAAGAAGTCGCTTGCGTCAAGCTCATTGTTCTCAACCCTGCTGACCAACTTTTTTTTTTTCTTGGGTATCTCCAGGTCCGGGAAGCGATCTTGAGAAATCTGGTGAAATTGCCTGTCACTAGTCACATCCAGAGGGGGTTACGTTTTAACTCTTTACGACGACTCCATCTTTCACATTCCCGACCTGATCTAGTTCTGACACAGCGTCATAGCTCGGAAGAGGACACTCGAGCGGAGGAGACACACATATGGGGAGGAGGAAGGAAGGATGGGAGTGACCCGAAGGGCACAACAGGACCATCGTCACCCCGTCCAGTCTTCAGAATTTTTCTTTTTGTCTATTTGTCGCTCATCATCATCATCATCACTTGACAAACGGCATGAAGCGCATTGCTTCTTAAGCAGCAAGCGATGATGTTGCTTTTTGATAGTAAACAATACCTATCAACTGTCGCGGCAAGGCTTCATTTGTTCTTTTTTTCGAGTGACACTTTTCAGGTTATGAAATGCTGCATGTTCCGGTAGAGATACATGGATATTGTAGAAACTCGGGAAAATATAGGCATCCGTTTTTTTTCTTTCCCCTCTCTCTTTGACTGCCGGGCAGGGCATATGCTAAGTAAGTAATGCTCCGTAAGCCAGTTTGTGCCAGCAGACGGATATGTCTGTCCAGTTAGTGAAAGCTTGAGGAGGTTGCCCACCATTCTAACTTGCGTGCGTTTCAATGTACATGGAGCCTCAAGCTTGCCTCGCTATAAAGACTTGCCCTCTGCCTAGCGCTCAAGGAGGGAAAGAACGATTGCCTGTATTTTCCGACTTTTTCTAGCGTATGTGCAGCAGCTGGCTGGTCATTCACTCTTGCGGGCATTAATTGCCAGGAAATTCAGCAAAAGTGCGTGCATTGCACGGCGTCGTACATTCAAGGTCCATTAGGTAGGTACAGCTTCTGTGCATCTCCACATACACGTAGCCATGTGCCGGCTCTGTCAATGAACGCACTACCGTATAAACTCGGTTCGTTGATTTTTAACTTCCACGGAAATCAGGCATAATCTGTAAGCATACTGCCCGGATATGTGCATTTTATGCCCACCAAAATAAGTGGGGGAGTTGTGTTGCTACTCCGGAGCACTGTAAATTCGATTCTCCTTTTGCCCTTTCTTTTCTACCTATTTTCTCAAGGGCGCTGGAGTGTGGGGGCATTTGAATTACTATCCTGCATGCAACTTCAGGTGGGCATAAATGTTGCAGTATGCTTACTGCGTATGCCTGATTTCCCAAGACGTTTAAAATCAACGAACCGAGTTTGTGCGGTATCAACAATTTACACAGGCGTATACGTACGTGACGTTTGAAATATGTAGCTCGAACCTGACAGCCGGCGCCACTAAGCATAATAAGGAGTAGGTTTGTGTTGCGGGATTTGCAAGTTTCGCGAGTGTCCTCGGTAGAGAATGTAGAGGTAGGTATAGTGCAGTGGCGCACTGCGCAGCAGGACGTGCGCGCATGCAGCCATCCGAACATCTTATACACTATTAGTGATATTATCTTAACATTCAAGCGGGTTTAGCTCAGTTGGGAGAGCGTCAGACTGAAGTCCACTTCACTCAATAATCTGAAGGTCGTGTGTTCGATCCACACAAACCGCATCTTCTTTTGGAATTTTTTTTCCCCAACGGGGTCGGTCACATAAGATGTGGGCCTAGCGAGGGTGGCGGCGATTCAGGGGAAGTAAACAATGAACCAGGCGCAACTGTTCCTGTATGTAAGCAAGGAGCAGCAGCACGTGGCAACCGCAGGAAATGCGATTTATTTTCTGGTTTTTTTTTCACAGCGAATGCAGTGTGTTTTGGGAAAATTGAATGGATGATGTAGTGGAAGTCAACGGTGGTTCATCACCTTCAGAAATATGATATCAGAGTAAATATATAGCTTATGTACATGAATGTTGAAAAGAATAATGATAATATGTTCAAGAGAATAAAGTGAAGATGTTGTTCAGCGAATGAGAAGTAGTGCCGAATCCGAAGAAGTAGACGGGTTCCTGAGCAGCGGAACAAGCGAGCTCGCCCAAAGAGAGAGACATTCGCATAAAAAGAACAAATATGGTTAGCAGCCCACAAGAACTGATAAAAGAAGTATAAGAATCCTCCACCTTCGTACCGCGTCACTAATGCAACTCAGTTAGAGACATATTGAGCGACATAACCGACCTCCATCATGGACCCAGGCCCATCCAGAGTGTTGGCGTTCGGATAACCGGGCTGTAAATTATCAACAAGTTAGCATCTACGTCGCAATTCCAATAATGAAGAACCAGGACAGCTTACCCAATTCCCACCAACAGCCACGTTCAAGATAAAGAACAACGGCTTGTTGCTGATCTTGTCGAATATCGCCGAGTCACCCAGCGATTGTCCCGACACTTCATGGAACTTGACCCCGTCCATGTACCACGTAATTTTGGAAGTCCACCAGTCACCCGACGTGCGATCCCACTCAATCTTCCACGTATGCCAGTCCTGGTTCGGAATGGCGGTACTGGCCCCCCTGCCGCTGGGTTCGTTGCATGGACCGCCGGGATACGTTCCGCAGTGGAGGGTTCCGTACCCTCTCAGATCACCGTTGACGGTCTCCATGATATCGAGCTCACCACAGGCGGGCCAGCTACCGCCTGAGCGGAGTTCTTGGCCCAGCAGCCAAAAGGCTGGCCAGATTCCCGCCTTGGTGTTGGTCGGGTTGCTGCCGAAGCGAATTTCGGCCTGGGCGACGGTCTTCTTGCCGGCTGGGGGTGTGAAAGTATAAGTAGACTCGATGCGGCCGGAGATCCAGTCGCCGTTGCCGTTCTGTTGGCGCCAGGGGATGATCTGCAGGGTGTGGTCGCCACTGACATGGATGGTCTTGGTGGAGGAGGTGTACGTCTCGAGCTCGTTATTGACGTTGAGCTTGCCGTTAATGATGTTCCATCGGCTCGCACTGGGCAAGGTTTGCGGACTGCCTTCGAATTCGTCGTACCAGACTAGGTTGTAACCCTGGAGAGTGGGAGGGTGCCAGGCTGAGACCAGTGAGGGAAGGAAAGGAAGGAGGAGGATGGATCGATCGAAACGCATTGTAACTGGACTGTGTGTGTGGAAAGGAATGTAGTGAAGTGAAACGAGGGCAGTATATGCTGGTAGAACAAGAAGCTGGCAAAGAATGTACAGACAATGTTGAACGAGTGTCCGGAAGCTCTTGCTCTGTTGAAGGTAAGAGTAAGGCCTCAAGAAGGGGAAATTATGTTGTAGTTAAATAATCATCTCGAACACCATCCAAATGTATGGTCTGGAGGAAAATGACCGCAGTGCGGCAGCATCGTTCTCAGGGTAGGATCAGCCGGTCATATTGAGAACTGCTGAGTATGAGAGGTGTGCCATCAAGGACGGTATCACTTGAATGGTTTCCAAGCCTTTCTTGGTGCTTGGTCCGAAGGTCCGGAGGAGTATTCCGGCACCGACCGGTGTAGGTGGAAGGCTGGGTGTATCGACATGGCGGATAGGTCCCGGATCTGCTGCCGGAAGGAGCAAGAGATCCCCTTCGACGAAATAAGGATCTAGATTTATCCTGCCGTTCGAGGGCTGTGTGAATATACCTAGATCACTGGCTTCCCAAGTTCTCATCACCATGAAGCCACCCTAATCACTGAGGCTCAACCTCCAATAGCAGTCAGTTATCGCGCAAAAGCTCTAGAATTCTGGGATTTAGGAGTTTGACTGAGGTGTTTTGGAGTTGTAGACATCTTAGGTCCAGGCAGAAGTTGACAGCATCCCGCTGTCTCTATTGGGCCACTCGGACGATGTCGTTAGATGAAAGGTCCCAGGAACAATGCTACTACCGTTACAGTACCGTATGATCAGACCCCGGATTGTTGTCTGCTGTCGTTGTTCCTGCGTTAGTTGACCAGCCTGTGGCACTGCATAGACAGGGGAGATATTGAGCACAAGGACATTGCCCCAGTCCTGCTGATTTTAGCGCCCTCTTCACGCGGAGCTATCATTCTTAGTGACCTGGAGTGCATAACTTGGGTAGTATCGATGTCAGAGGGATCGCATGCTGCCAGGTAAGTAACCCGTGATGGGAGTAATACCGCCGAGTATGCTGCCCACGGGTCTCGGCTGGGGGATGTTGTCGAGCAGAAAAGGCAAGTGCCTGCCTACACTGGGCACGACGGCCTGCGTGTAACGTTGTATACTGGGCGCTGTCTCCCACTTTGACATGTTTTGTCTTTCAGATTCTCCCATCTTAGCCATTGCGATGGGTTTCCAGGGCCGTTGGTGATGAGTTGAGGCCGCTGTGTCTGAGACTTTTCATCCAGTGTTTGCGTCTGTTCAATGATACTGACGTCAAGCTGGTGCATTAACTGGGATCTATCAAGCGTCTGCCCAAATTGTAAATCATTGCCCAGGGGTCTTGACCAAGGCCTTGGGTCTAGAATGCACTTGAGAAATCGCGGAGGCTTGAGCAGTAACTCAATCTCATACATCAAGCCTTGGAAGTTTGTTAGTCTGTTATCCGCTCCACATTGTCTTACAGGAGGGTAACAGGGGGCGTCGCAAGGCAGGACACGTCTATCTACGCGATATGATTGGCTGAAGCTACCTGATTTCAAGGTGAGAAAGAGCTGACAGAAGAGATCAGAACGGCCCCGGGCACCTTCTATCATCGGTAAATTTACAGGGCATTTACCGGACATTTTGTCTTTCCCCTTGGTCTAAGCCCCTGTATACCTTTAGGCACCAAGCTAACGAACTTTCCAGGGGCGAAGCACATGCCCCGTTGTCGGGCATCCCAGCCAGCCGGCTTCACAACGACTGATGACGTCCCGATGTTTGGGTCGGGTTTTCACCCCATCATTCCCCCACAAGGCCTTGGGTCTCGAACGCAGTTCAGAATCGCGGAGGTTCAGGATAGCATGTTCATTGGCTGAATCATTTGCAGGTTAAGATTGCCAGGGGCACATGCACCGGTTTCTTTGCAAAGGAAAAGGAGGAGGGATACGACCTTGTTTTCCAATTCTAGCCACGCGTTCTCATCTTGTGGCTTGTTTCTAACTGCAAGCTCTTGCATGCGATGAAGTCGAGACAACCCATTGAGTTTTGGCAACCGTCTCCCGATTCCAAGCGCTTTCGAGTGTAGGTGAGATCCAAACTCATGAACAAGGCGTCGGACAGTTATTGTTTCACTTATTCCCTGCAGTGTCGCCAGTGCCTGGCTCCGTCAGCCTACTCTTCGACGGGATAGGAGGCTGTGATGATGATTGAAGGGTGGTGAAAGGACATATGACTTTGCCACCTGAAAAAAAAAAAAACCCCCGTTCATGTCCGCCGTAGAGGTCGTAGATCATACAAGAGGTAAGGCGAGCTGATCGTCGGTGTTTAAGATCCGGCGAGCGTCCCGGATCATCGGCGCCCATCCCTTTCTGCCTGACTGATGCAAGTAGTGATGAAAACCCAAAGTTACGCTCATTGACAGGAAGGGTGTGATCATTCGAATCCGGATGGCCTTGGCAGGTTATTTTTTTTTCCAGGTCACCGGAACAGTGGTGATCACCTTACCCGGAATGATATCCTTTCAGAAGACGAGAAATTTCCTCACATCGACGGAAGGTACCCAGGTTGACGATTTGATGGGTTTCATTTTGGTGAGCTGAGGTTCGAACACAACTGGAAGTAACGAAAATTGGACGATGGGGCAAGAGGGAGCCGAAGACAGACACGCAGAAACGCAAGTTAAGAAAGTAAGGTAAGAGCGAAGGATGGGGGGTTGGCTTAAATGAACGCTTGCCGGGAAGAAGAGCAGAGGAGATGGAACGCCTAGCCAGGACGGGGAGAAATACGGCATTTGGAGCACGGCCAGCAATGATCCAACAGCAGGTGTGTGAAACTATTTTGTGTCGATTTGCTTATCTTGGGACGGTAGGAGTTGGAAGGCAAGAAGGGCCTTTTTAAATGCAAGTTTGCAGACCTAACGATAAAGAAACACGATCTTCACACCAGTTATTGAAAGCCTAGTGAGTAAAAGAGGAAGGAGTCATACCTGTGGGTGATGTGGTTTGAACAAAAAGCAAAACTACTTGAAACGAAGAAGAAAAGGATACTCGGGGAATTGGCAAAATCTAGACTATCTCTCTGAACGCCCGGCAGTAAGCACAGGAAGCAGCATACCTACTTCTGTACGTATGTTCGCTCAGTTAGTGAAAGCTACTACTGTGTGTACAACACTGCCCACCAATATCTTATTTGTGTTTCAAAGCATAGGCTCGGACTCGAGCGCTAGATTTACCAACGCCCTGTCTGATTTCCAGGCTTTTTAGGTGTTCAGCTTTTTGCCAATTCCCCGAGTTCCGAGGTGAGGTTTCATTAGGTACCTCTAAGCAGAAGATCGCCATATGGACAAATACCTTCAGGTAAACAGTCTACCCCACTTCAAGTGCTTGCCGGGTCCAGTGCCCTGGCACGGGTGCGGCACAGCTTCACCTTACTTGCCTACAGGCTGCTGATGTGCGGCGCCATGTGTACTTTAAATTGTCCACCTTTCAAATTCTGCCGACATCACAGCACTCCGTACAAACATGCCCCTTCTGTCTTTGACCTTTTTGATCATTTCACTGTATTAAGCCATGTCCATCAAGGATATTATATCTCATTATGTGTCGTTATACATTCCAACATGCAAATCATTATCATCGTCATGACCATTATCGCCAACAACCCCACACCGAAACCTCGACCACGAGGGTATCTAGATCTCCTCCCCACCGCCGCAAGGTCCAGAGTGGGAGTGGACATGGGCCCCGTTTGCGCGCTTCTTGTTGCGCTTAAGGGTCTGGGCAACATCACCATCCCAGCGGCGCTGCATAAGGTTGATGGCGGGAAGCGACTTGAACGAGCGGGCATACTTGGCCACGCTGTTGGCGATGGCCTTTGTGTTGAGAAGGAAGGCATCCCATGCAATGTTGTCAATGGTGTCGCCGGCCTGGTGGTAGTTGACATCGTACGCGATGCCAGCTGTGCCACCAACGGCCGCAGCTTCCGCCTCGGTCTTGATGCCCTCGGCACCGGTGAAGATGCCACCCGAGGGAATGCCGTTCTCGATGAAGGCGGCATAGTCGGAGCGACCGTTGAACTCGGAGGGAACAGAGGCGACCTTGTTCTTGGAGAAGAACTGCTCAAAGTCCTTCTCGATGACGTCGGAGCCCTGGGGACCGGTCAGGTTGAAGGCGCTGCCGTCACCGTCATAGATGCCGTAGATGTAGTTGGGGCTGGCAATCTGTTTTTGGAACGTCAGCATCATGGCATTATTGGCTGACATCTCGAAAAGGGAAGCATACCATATCGAAGTTGAGGTAAGCACGGATCTTGGCGAGCTCAGTCTTGGAACCGTTGAGAGATTTGACATAGTATTCGGAGCCGAGCAGGCCAAACTCCTCAGCAGACCAGAAGCCAAAGCGGACGGCGTTCTTGACCTGGAATTTGGCAAGGGCCTTCGCGACGGTCAAGATACCAATAATACCGGAACCGTCATCGTTGATACCTGGGCCTGCGGCAACGGAGTCAGAATGGCCACCAACAACGAGGACGTTGTTGTGGTCACCGCCCTTTGTCTCGGCAATGACGTTGAAGCTGACACGGTGCTCGGTGACAGCGTCTACCTTGAACTCGGCCTTGATCTCCTCACCACCCTTGATGGAAGCAATGAGAGCCTCGCCATCCTCCTTGCTGAGACCAACAACGGGCGCATAGTCCTTGAAGGCCTCGCCGAGGGTGCCCGAAAGAGAGCCAGCAACGTTGTTGTAGATGACCAGGCCGACGGCGCCAGCCTCCTTGGCGCTCAGGGCCTTCTGGCCGAAAGTGCAGTTACCCCGGGAGACGAGAACGATGTTACCGGAAGCCTCAGCAGGGTACTCGGCGGCCGAGCAGCCAAGGCCCCCGGCATAGACGATAGGCCCAGTGGCAGATCCAGCAGGGGTATAGGTCATGATCCGGACATCGAGGGCCTTGCCGTTGACACTCAAGGAACCGGTACCAGCCGAGTAAGTCTCGACAAAGGGCTGCTTGTAGACGTCATAGTAACCGGTGTCCTTGAGGGTGTTGTAGAGGAAGTCGACGGTGGCGTTGTGACCGGTGCTGCCAAAGACACGAGTGCCGTTGTTGGCATCGGCAATGTCCTGAAGCTTCTGAGCACCGGCGCGGATGTCCTGCTCGGTGATTTGGTACTGCAAGGCGTCGGAGCAGACATAGGGCTTCCTGGTAGGACCACCTTGGATGGTAGCAGCCAGTGCGGGAATCGCCAGGGCGAGGGTTGCGAGGGAGGCAGCGACAGTTCTCATTTTGGCGGATCCAACACCTATGCTTTTTTTGAGCCGAGAGAGGGCTGAAAAGGCAGAGCGGAGGAGAGGTAGAGATGTAAGACAGGAACGTGGGAATCACCGTCAAGATAGGGCTTTTGAGCTCCCATCTTGTCAACCCCTGCCTGTTGTTGCTCTGCAGCGCGACTCAGTTCACACGGCAGCGCATTCCATTCCCATGTCAACTCACACTCACCACCTTCTCCTTTACCTAGGCTACATATCAACCATCACGTCAACGAAGCCTTGAAAATCGACAACACGAGGTTCGATGAGACGAGGTTCCCGAAGTGGCAGTTAAATGTAGCGCTCCCACTAGTCTTCCCCAGTTTCCTGGCCTTGGCGGGCTCTAGGCTGGGCTAGCCAAGAAAAGCCAAGCGTGATATCGCGGGAGCTGCCTCTTTTAGCATGGCGCCCATCGAGGCCAATTGCCGAATGTCGTGCTCTGCTAAATCCAGAACGGCAGGTTCTGGACACTCATGCCGGCCTGGATCATCGGGATAGGCATCGTTTCTCGGCATTCTTGGGAGTTGGGACTGGGATTCGAAATTCCCCCTCTTTGCGAGGTGGAGCTGGGATTCATCATTTCGATCCGGAACTGGTCTGTTGCTTTTCCTATGCGTACCAAAACCTGCTCAAAGGCTTTCAGTTCCAACAACGACATCATTATCGGACAATCGAATGAACAACCGAACCAAAAAAAAAAAAAGCCGTCAATGTTGGATCTGCACAAATACATATGTATCAGGCAGCCACGCAGGAACAGCGTGGGATATCAATTCCGACAACGTGCTGTGCCTCTCAAAGCGTGCCTTACATATCCGACCCTCCCACGCAACGAACGCCTTGCATTTGTGTCTCTCGAGTTTGGAAGCTGACAAGAGTCAAGACAGCAAGATAGCGAGCAGGTGATGCTTAGACAATGCGCCCAGCGGTGAGCACATACGTTACAGTACAAGAACGTCACTCATCCGTCCATTATCCGTCATCTCCATCTCGGGCATGTCAACCCAAAATAGGTCCTCACCGAAGTCGTGAAGTGTGGTGATTTCGATAGCAAGTCTGGAGAGACCTGGTCGGAGGTCTTGTCACTGCAGGAGACCGTTTGCTTGCGCCTATCTTCGGACTTGGCTTAGCATGGGTGGTTTTCTTGGTGTCTTGGTTTTGGGTGACGAACACGAACCAGCCTGATAATAAATATACATAGTAGTAGGTGAGACAATGGGCCAAGGCCAACATCGCAAGTGAAATATTACCTAGTTGGGAGTTTCACTTACTAGGTACATATGTGCTTGCCGACTCAATTGCGCGCCAAGACAGGCGTTCAGGGGAAGGTACCCCGCGTAAACATTGCCGCTGCCCCTCGATGGAAGCTCGGTCTTGGCAGCATTCAAAGGTCGTGAGTGCAAGCAACGGGCGACTACTTGAAGAACATATCTTCTCAAGTCAACGAACTCGGTGTTGTAAGTGTTGTCGAGCCGAGATGTATCAGATACTTCGTGGTCGAAGTACTCTCCCCACCATCTTACGCTTGTAAAACAGAGTATCTCGTATCCGAGTATCCTTCTTCATCATTACGCTTGTAAAGAGTGTAAGAATCATCCAATCTTTGTCTACCTAGCCAAAATCGTTTGAAAGCATGACTCTGGCTCCTCATGGTAAAACCTAAAGAAGTACAAAACTCTATTCTACTTGCTGATGATGAAATGGGCATGAATCTACGCTGCCCATCAACCCTATTTGAACCAACCCACCGGTGTTCATTTTGCTCTACAGTCTCTTGGAGACAAGGACAAGCCAAAACCACATGAACGCCTAGCCTGCTTGATCTTCTTCGTTGCTCCCCTTCGAAACTTTGGGCCCGCCAATGCGTGATGATACCGCCATGCCGTGATAATGTAGTGTTTTACACCGAAAAACAGAACGCGCTACTCCCAACCCCCCCTTTCCATCATCGTAGCTTAGTAACCTGGCCACAACAGAATGCCCAACTCACCCTCCCCAGAAACGTACAATATTGATACAGCCAATGAAGCCAGATGCATGGCAGAAACCACAAACAAGTCCGTGCCCTTGGTCATGAAGAGGCTCTACTTCATCTCTGCCTTGCTGTCCACCCCCGACCTTTCGCTGGGCTTATCCTCAGCAGTCGCGGTCTTGGCATTTTCGGCGTCACGTCCTTGACGGTACTTATCCATCTTTTCCGAGAGGTAACGTATCGTGCGCTTGAAACCGCTGGTAAGAGGGCCCTTGAGAGACTGTGTGGTGGCTGGCCAGTTGATGGTCTTCTTGATGACGCTCCGGACCTGTTTGCGAAGCTCCGCAGGGTCGTCGCTGGCAATGCGCTGCTCGAAGCCTCCACCCTGGCGACGCTTGAACGAAATGGCGTCCTCGTTTTGACTTTCCTCCATCATCTTGTTAAAGTCGAGCTGGGGGATCGCAAACTTCTTCTGGTACTCGAAGTAGAGCTTCGATCGGAAAGCCTTGGGCAACCGGCGAACCATGTTTCCGCGCTTGACAGGGTCCATGTCCTGCACGAGATTGAGGCTCTTGTCATTCCAGATCCAGTCTCTCTCGGTGGCGCCAGCATCATTATATTCCAAGTTTGGTAGTGTCTCGATCAGAGGAAGATACAGGCGGCGGAAGTTGGTCATGTTGTTGCCGACAATGTTCTTCACCTTGCTTGGATTCTCGGTGGGAAGAGACATGCGAGGGTCGCCGAGGTAGCTGATACCAGCAATTGTGGCAAAGAGCTCGTCTTCGGTGAACTTGGGTGGCAGCAACAGCAGAGCTGTCCGAAGAGCGGACAGAAGGTTGATCTGGTTTGCCAAGCGAATCTTGGGATCGTCGCGCAGAATTTTGACAGGCTTGTGCAGTCGTCCAGCAAGATAAAGGGTATCCCACTGGGTGAGATCCCGCTCTAGCGTATCTAGTTGTACAACGCCATATTTGATCAAAATGCCATTGACAACGACGTAGGGGTTAAAGTATACTCCAGCGCCCATCTTGTCCTGAACGTAGGAGACCGCACCCGAGCCCAGGCTCGCCAATGCCGAGTAGTGCTCTCGGTGCTGCTTCATATTGAGGGAATGCCAATGTTGCGTATGGGTGACGCCAAAAATAAAGTCGATCATCTTGGGCGTTCCATCCTGGGCTCTCTTGACGCCTTCGGGCGCCTTGGGGTGAATCTTCCGCAGCTCTTCGTCCGTAATCACTTTGCCACTAGACTTGGATTGCGGGAAGACGCCAGAGCCGTAGGCGAACGCGTAGCGGATTGGGGCCCGGAACTCCCAAGGTATCTGCTTAAGAACCTCCCTGAACTCGGGATCGAAGGGAATGAACTGGTTGACACCGAAATTCGCGTGGGGTAGTTGCTTGAACGAGTCGATGTTCAAGTTCACATTCGTCTCCCAATCATTCGTCTCGTTGAGAGTTGTGGTGCTGGAGGACGCAGAAGAGCTAGAAGCCTCGTCTAAAACGGCCTGCTTGGACTTTGTGTCCTTGGATGCCGCATCCGCGGCGGCGTTTGCGGCGTCTTCGTGCTCCACATTCTCCTTGGTGTCCTTCGCCTGAACGGCCGCGCCGTTGTTGTCGCGTGCCGTGGCGTATCTGCGCCGTAATAGGGGAGTGTGTCTCTGGTAGTATAGCGAACTTGGGGGCAAGGCAGATTGGGAGCGGAAAGGGCTGGCGCGAGCGAGCAAGGATGGGGCGCGCGGGTTGAGCCGACCCTGGAGAAGCTTTTGGTTAGCATGGGCTGTCTCTTGACGGTCCGTGGGTATGACAATGGGAACGCATGGGGATAACTTGGGGCCAGAGCTGGAAACATACCGTGAGGATTTGGGGGAGGACCCCTCTGCTAGCCATGGCGACAGACGGGAAGGTCTATGTATATTTTGAACGGGAACAGTGATGGTGGAATGCGAATGGGACGGATTGAGGCCTCGGGTGTAAAGTATTGCTGAGGCTGCGGAAGCTGCGGATGGTCACCTCTGGGTATAATCCATAAGCCGGAAGTGGTGGAAGTCTGAGTCGGGTCGGGCTGGAGCAGTCGAGGCGGATGTGGTGGGATGGAGTTGTGGTGATGCCGTGGGATTGGATGAAGGTCGGAAATGGCTGCTGGATCAAAGGAAAGAAGCCCGTCGCTAGCTCCAGCTTCCAACAAGTCTTCTACCCGCATTCCACTCTTCCACAGGGTCGGCACAGCTAAATTCCAGAGTTGCTTTTCCTTCTCCATCAGTGGGCTCTTTTGCTGTCATCGAGTGGGGCATCGCGATGTGATAGCCGTGGGCTAACTGTAAACGGTTTAGGCAGACACACAGATCATCTGGGCTGACTTGCATTTCTGACGTTTTCTCCCGTCCCTGTCTGGAATTCGAACCCCACATGAGCTCCCCTGGGGTCATCGAATGCGAGTTCATCTATGTATCCATTCCGTGTTGCCATTGGTAATTTTAGGCTGGTTAGCAGGTGTTAGTGTCTTCAATTCCATGGACATAAGATGGAATCATGACAAGATGAGAGTTGGTAGCTTCATAATCGGGCTGACATAGTGACTACTTGCCTAGGTTCATTTCTACACATAGAAGCTATGTAAATGACACTCTTGAGCCTCATTCTCCAGGGGCACTTTTATAACAGGGACATGGTTTCGATTTATTTGTCACTCCCGAGGAGCAATAGTGTACATAATGTAGGTAGTGTAGTATGTCTTTAAAGTGACGTTATATCATGGAGTGTAATAGCATCATACTACTATGGAGCAGGCTCTAGGTACCTCTAGGTAAAGCTCCATTTGAACTGAGGGAGGGTGATCGATCTCGGACATTGAAGATCTCGTTCACACACTGACCACAGCTGGACCACCATCAAGGCCACGCTGGTCCATGCCCTCTTTACAGACATCTCCCCCCTTGTGCTGCCAGGTTCTCCAGACTGCCCGACGTCGCGAGCCGTTTCCCGTTTTCCGTTTCCCCTGGCCCTGGCTGTCCGTTCCAGTTGAAGCCTCACAGTCTTGGCAGACCGGGCACTGCAGTTTCCTTGTCGGGTCCACTGAAACAAATGTTGAACCAACCAACAGAGCCGCTGCAACCCAACACTGTCCCCCAAACAATTGGGGCTGCGCTAATCTCGACGCCGCGACCGCGCTTTCAAGTGGAACTGAAAGTAAACACAACATCCAAATACTACCAGTTCTTCGCATGTCTCCGGTTCATACGCCGACTGCGCTCTTCTCGCCATGCCGCCACCGTCAATTCCTCAACCCGGCCAAGGCAAGCCGCCCTTGCGACGCGGTTCTATAAGCGGTGCCTCAGGCCCGCAGGCACAGTTTCGCGCCAGCATTGGAGCCAGCGCCATCCCACGTCCGCAGACAGCGCTCAGAGGATCTAGGGTACGTTTCCGCCTGTCGCAAACCAAAGAAGACTATTGACTCAAGATGACGTCCTGACTGTGGTTCCAATGCGTGCGTAGCCCGGAAGTTTTCGCGCTTCGATTAGTGCTCAGCCGTCTTTCGCCTTCAACCCAAGCGGCGATTCCCATATTCCGCTATCGATTGCCAACTTGAGCCGTTCGAGTTCGCGGCAAGGTCGTACGCCGACCGGGCCATCACCGCCGCCCGCTAACGATGAAACCGCAGCCAGCTCGACGAATCCGACGCGGGATAGCAGCAAGGAGAACATTGCTCCGCCAGATGCAGCAGAGTACGAAGCCCAGAGACGGCGCATCGAAGAGCTAAAGGCCGAGGTTGGCACTCTCAACTACCAGATCAGCAACTATGAACAGGAAAAGGAGTTGGGACGATTGCAGATGGAAAACGAAATGCGCGATATCCGTCGACAAGCTGAGCAGGATTTTAAAGCAAAACAAGCCGCCGATGCCGAAAAGTCCAAGGCGCTGCGACATGCTGAGTCGCTGCAAGCCGAGTTGGACGCCCTACGAGCCGAAAAGGAAACCCAAAAACGAGAACTCAATGCGAAGACAAGGGAAGCACAGGAAGAGGCAAGACTACTTCGAGAACAAGTTGAGGAGTTGAAGGCTGCTAAGGAGGAAGCAGCACGGCTAGCGGAGCGGGAAATCACCGAATTAAAGGCGAAGGTAACTGTGTTGGAGAGGACCGCGCAAGAGACAGAGGAGGAGAACAGAACACTAAAGGATACCCTCGAAAAAGTCAATGCCCAACTGGCAGAGCGAGACGACACAATAGGCAAACTCGATGCCGAGGTTCTTCGACTCAAAGCTCACACAGGCGATGCCGAGACAGTGTCCGTGATCCGCAGGGAGCTTTCAGACCAAGTGAATCACATCCGGATGCTCGAGTCTAAGAACCGTGAGCAAATAACAGAGCTCAAACACTTGCGACAGGTTTACAAGGCCGTGGAGGTAGTCGAGGAAGAGAAACGGACTCTACAGAGGAAGTTGGAAGCAGCACAAACTCTGGAGACCGAGCTGGCCGAGGAACGAAGGCAACGTCTCAGGCTAGAGGATGAAAGAAGATCATGGGCCGCATACTTGGAGTCAAATTCAGAGGGTCCCGTCGAGTTCGACTCACCGGAAGCCGTAGCAAGGGCATTGGTGGAGGAGCGTTTCCGCTCCGCCTCGCTGACCGAGCGGTTGGGTGCTCTCCAGCCTGAGATTGCCGACCGTGATAACATCATCAAGTCACTGGAGGATGAGAAGGCCAGACTTCTCGAACAAATTGAGAAACTTCGGGCAAGCAGCGGTCCTTCTGCTAACGACAAGGCCCGCGCCCGTCTAGACAGGCAACGCGCCCTCGCCGTCAAGGAGGTGGAGTACCTACGCGCCCAACTCAAGACCTTTGACATGGAAGACGTCACCATGCAACCCGAGCAGCTCGACGAGCAAAAAGCCAAGCGGATCCAAGAGCTTGAGGACCTCGTCGACAAGTACAAAGAAGAGGTTAACACCCTCCACGCCGACCTGACCTCCCTCGAATCCGCCAGCACCAGCCCCGTCCAACCCGTACTGGCCGGCACCAAACGGCCCCGTGATGACCACGACGGCGCCGAGTCCGAACAACTCGGCCAACTCGCCCGCAAGAACCGCAAGCTCCAATCCGAGTTCTCCGACCTGCAAACCTCCCACCGCATCCTCCAAAAGGAGCACGAAGTAACCACCTCCCAGCTCGCCGCCGCCAAGGAACAACTCAAAACCCGCATCCTCTCGCTGCGCGACAACCCAACCTCGGAATACGAAAAGATCAAGACCGAAACCCTTAAAGCCCTCAAGCTCGAGAACGCCGAGCTGCTCGCCCACCTCGAGCGCCAACCGACTCTCTTCGCGACCGTCCCCGCCACCCAAATCGCCGCGCTCAAACGCGAAATATCCGCCGCGCAAGCCGAGACGGCCTCGGCCCAAAAACGCGCCGACCGCCTAAAACAAGTATGGGCAGCCAAGTCTGCCGAGTTCAAAGAGGCCGTGTTCAGCACCCTGGGGTGGACCGTGACGTTCATCCCCGGAGGCAAGATGCGGGTGGAAAGTGTTTATTACCCTTCCAAGACGGAGGAGCACGAGAACAGCATCGTTTTCGATGGCGAGAAGGGCACGATGAAGGTGGGCGGAGGACCGAGGAGCGAGTTTGCGAACAGGATTGCGGATAATATTCGGTTTTGGGTCAGGGAGAGGGGAGAGGTGCCGTGCTTTCTGGCGGCGTTGACGTTGGAGTTTTATGAGGAAATGCATGGGGCGAAGCAGTTGCAGGCGACTGGGGGAGGCGAAAGTGGCAGTGGGAGCGGGACGCCTATGGAGGGGGTGACTGGGACTGCTTCGGCTTAGTAGGTCAGCTTGTTCGGTCTGGTATCTGGGCTTCCTGGGGTGGACGTTGTTTTGGGAAGCATCAATATGGCGTTGGTGCACATTTTTTGCTTTTGCTTTGCGTTGCTTCACAAGCTGGTCGAAAAGAAAGTGACAGACTTGAACGTTCGGGATGCTTAGTTTCCCCTCTATCAGGCCCTTGGGCCTTATACCACGCAGAATGGATTAAGAGCAAAATGGCACTACACATACATACATACATAATTTGACTTTGAAACAACGAGGAAACTGGGACAACCGAAGGGATAACTATCTACTTCTCACGTTGTTGCTGTCGATCGCGAATTCGAGTCCAAGCACAGTAACGAATTACAGAACGTTGACAAGTTTCCAACGATTCATGAGTTGCGAGACAAGTACCGAGTGATAGATATTCGTGATTTGGGTAAATATGTATTAACCACCAGTTACCATATTTATCGATATGTGTAATTTCCGTGTCGTGTCAGTAACTCAGCTTCTTCTAAGCATCTCCATAGGTTTACCTAAGAGTGGAACCATCAGAGTTCCATGTTATTGGTGGCCCTGCTGGTTCGGTTACGAGCAGCAACTTTTGGGATATGGCGATTGGAGAGAAAATGTCCCAAGTTAAAGACAGATAAAGAAAATAAAAATAGAAAATGAAGTGGAAAGTCGATTAGCGAGATTACCCGAGATCCCATGGGTCTAATAAGCTTGAGCCCCTTTACACATGCCCC